GCTGGGCAGGGACTCTGCTGCCTGCCAGGGGCAGCTCTCAGCCGGCCTGGGGAGCTGCTCCTAGGGCTGGGGCACAAGGGCTGTGGGCAAGGAGCAAACCTGGTAGGGCTGAGGGAGGATCTTTCCCATGTCTCACTGTTGCAGGGTCAGACCTGCTCACAGCTCCAGACCACTACACCATATTGAATGGAGAATCTTTTGCAAAGCTCAGAAAAGACAGGGGCTACAGGAAAGGAATTAGTCCTGAGGTGTGTTTCCTGCTTAGACATTGTAGCAGAGACATTGTTCTCTCAGGTCAGGAGGCTGCACTGAAATTCAAACTCTTTTACTCTCAGTGATGAATCTTTCAGGCAGTCTCAGAAATGAGCACAGGATCCTGGGCAGGGCTGAGCCTTCCCTTGGGGGTGGGCACTCTCCTGTCCCAGCCCTTGGCTTCCCTGCAGGAGGGCTCCTGTCCTGCTCTGTCCAGCACAGCTGCACCTCTGGGCTGGCACAGGGGACAGTTCCCAGAGCTGCCCTTTCAAGCAGCGCTGCCCTGCTCTCAGCACAGATTCTGGTGGGGTTTTTAAAGATGAATCTGTGTGTGAAGTCCTCTTCAAGGAAGCCCAAGGGAAAGTGCAGGACAGAAGGGAAACAGACTGAGAGGCACTGCAGCTCTCCTGGCTCTGCAATAAGCAACAGAGAGCTCAGCCCTTCTGCCTGTCCTGTCTCAACACTCATCAGATTTGTAATTGGAAAAATTTGTTCCTAAAAAAATCCCCAGGTGTTATGATTGTAACCAAAAAACTCAGCCAAAATTATTTTAAGGATACACTATCCCTCTCTTCTGCAGCCCAAATTGCTCCAAGACAACAGTAAAGGAATTGAACTTTTCCATCAAAGCTGGGTTCCATGTGACATCCCCCGTAATCATGAGAACTGTCCCAAAGCAGCTCCATGTCTGCACTGCAGCAGAGCAAAGCTGAGTCCTTGGCAGCACATGGGCAGAGCTCCTGCTCCTCACAGCACCCTCAGAGAGCACAAACCAGAGAAAAGAAATGCCTTGACTTGGAGGGGATTTCCCTGAAAACTGCACTGGCTTTGCTGAGAGGGGGCTGTCTAATTGTTCTCCGTGCTTTCCTTTTCTGAACAGACCCTGTCCTAAGGAACAGCAAATGCCCAACAGCAGCTCCCTCACCCACTTCCTCCTCCTGGCATTTGCAGACAGGCGGGAGCTGCAGTTCCTGCACTTCTGGCTCTTCCTGGCCATCTCCCTGGCTGCCCTCCTGGCCAATGGCCTCATCCTCAGCGCCGTAGCCTGTGACCACCACCTGCACACCCCCATGGGCTTCTTCCTGCTCAACCTCTCCCTCACAGACCTGGGATCCATATCCACCACTGTCCCCAAAGCCATGCACAATTCCCTCTGGAACACAAGAACCATCACCTACACAGGATGTGCTGCACAGGTTTTTGTCTACTTATAATCTTTCTTAGAGCAGAGTTTTCCCTCCTCACCATCATGTGCTATGACCGCTACGTTGCCATCTGCAAACCCCTGCACTACGGGACCCTCCTGGGCAGCAGAGCTTGTGCCCACATGGCAGCAGCTGCCTGGGCCACTGGCTTTCTCAGTGCTCTGCTGCACACAGCCAATACATTTTCCCTGCCCCTGTGCCAGGGCAATGCCCTGGGCCAGTTCTTCTGTGAAATCCCACACATCCTCAAGCTCTCCTGCTCACACTCAGGCTACCTCAGGGAAATTGGGCTCGTTGGGTTTAGTGTCTGTTTATCATTTGGTTGTTTCATTTTCATTGTTTTCTCCTATGTGCAGATCTTCAGGGCTGTGCTCAGGATCCCCTCTCAGCTGGGATGGCGCAAAGCCCTTTCCACTTGCCTCCCTCATCTGGCTGTGGTCTCCCTGTTTGTCAGCACTGCCATATTTGCTGACCTGAAGCCCCCCTCCATCTCATCCCCATCCCTGGATCTGGCACTATCAGTTCTGTACTCCGTGGTGCCTCCAGCACCGAACCCCTTCATCTACAGTCTGAGGAACAAGGAGCTCAAGGATGCCCTGAGGAAAATCATAACTTCCAAACCAAACCATTCCATGATCCTGTGACTGGTGGGGGATGTGGTGGTCGGAGCCGTCAGGCACAGAGACCCAAAATGGTGGAGTTCTCCAATCTGGGTGGAGGAAGGAGGGGGCAGCAGAACTGACACCCTGGACTGCTGGTGGTCAGACTTTGTTCTGTTTGGGAGACTGACTGATCTAGGTGTGAGTGCAGATGTGCTGGAGGGCAGGAAGGCTCTGCAGAGGGATCTGGACAGGCTGGATCAATGAGGCCAAGTGTCAGGGCTTGCCCTTGGGTCCCAAAAACCCCCTGGAATGCTCCAGGCTGGGGGCAGAGGGGCTGGAGAGCTGCTGAGCAGGAAGGGACTTGCGGGTGCTGCTTGACAGCGGCTGGATATGAGGCAGAGTGTGCCCAGGGGGGCAAAAAGGCCAAGGGCATCGTGGCCTTGGTGGAGAAGAGTGTGGCCAGCAGGAGCAGAGAACTGATTGCCCCTCTGTGCTGGGCACTGCTGAGGCCCCACCTCGAGTGCTGTGTCCAGTTCTGGGCCCTCAGTGCCAAAAGGCCCTTGAGGGGCTGGAACGTGTCCAGAGAAGGGAACGGAGCTGGGGAAGGCTCTGGAAAACATGTCTGCTGAGGGACGGCTGAGGGAACTGGGCTTGTTGAGTCTGGAGACGGGGAGGTTCAGGGGGGACCTCATTGTTCTCTACAGTGACCTGAAAGGAGGTTTTTAGTGGGGTGGAGGTTGGTCTCTTTTACCAAGGCTATAGTGAAAGGTTGTGAGGGAATGTCCTTAAATTGCATCAGGCAAGGTTCATATTAGATATTAAAGAAACCTTTTTCCACTGAGAGAGTGCTCAGGCATGGGAACAAATAGCCCAGGGAGGTGGTGGAGTCTCTGGAAGTCTCTGGAAGTGTTCAGGTGTGTGTTGGG